AAAGGGAATAAAAGGGTGTGTGTGTGTGTGTGTGTGTGAGAGAGAGAGAGAGAGAGAGTGTTATATAAGTCCAAGAGAAAAAGACTCACAGTTATAAAGGAATTCACAGTAATCCCACTTTCTTTGCCCAAAGTTAACTTGATTAGTATCAGGAGGAAAGTTAATGTTTAAACAGTCCTTCCCACATCTGCTACTTCCATAATGTCTGTGCAGTTGTCATAAATTAGGAGTGGAGAAGGGCACAGTGCCAATCGTCAAAACAAATAGGCAATTCTGGATTCCAAGTTTCATATTATTTTCCTTGAGCCTGAGAGTTGTGAGGGCCGCCTGTCCTTGCAGGGGGACACGCCATCCGCTGGATCCTCACCCCAGCCCTATAGGGGGACACGCCATCCGCTGGATCCTGCCACAGCCCTGTCCTCCATGGCAAGGCACCTCGGCAGGGCCAGGCTAATGAGAGAAGGACCAGGAGCAAATCTTGTCCCTCGAGTGTCCCACACTTTGGGAGGAGAGAATGAGCTCTCAATAGTAAGATAATACAGTTATGACACTGAAAGGACACCCACACTATTAACCACACGGGGTTGGCCTCTATTGCATCTCTGCCAGCTCTGCATATCAGTCTTCTGCTTTGACTCTGCTCCACGCTCCTTAAAAGGTAAGGTTGATGTTTTCTATTTCGCACCTCACACAGGGTCCAATCTGTGGTGGATTAGCAGTTGGTGTCCATGACGTGGCCTCTTCTGCTTCTTTGCTTTAACAAGACCAGCACAGTGAAAGGGCAGACTGGCACGCCAGGCCAGCTTTGGTTCTTTCCTTCCAGCTTTTCACTGCCACAGGACTTAGCCTCTCAGGTAAGACAGGTACCCCCCTCTCCTCTTCTTATGTGCTGGGGTGTGCTCTTACCAGCTGGTGCTGTAGACAGGCCTGAGGGTAGTAAGACTAACAATACACCTTACCAGAAAGCTCTACACTGGAGTTAAAAGCACTAGTCCAACCAATAATAGAGCGATGCCTTGTTCCCCAGTAGTCATTGTCTGTGCTTATACATCTTTCAGGAATGTCATGAGAAGGCTACAGTAGGACTTAGGAATGTCTACTGTCCTTGGTCTGGACATAACCTGATCAGCACCAGAATCTCATCCTAAGTTGCTAATACATTCATCTTTTAACAATGTTTTGCATGCTCAGAGAGAATCATGGAGAGAGAAAGGATGTATGGCTGTCTCTCACTCTCCTGGGACTCTGCCTCCTAGATTCCTGTCAACATTTTGTCCCCGTTGGTCTTGCTCAACTTCCAACCTGCAACGTGGCCAGTAGTTGAGTTACCTTCCGATCCTTGGTAGGCTTATCGTCTCTAATAGCATCTCCTACTGATGGTGGCTCTTTCTCTCAGATTGACCTTGTTGGGCGCCTGGGTGGCTCAGTCATTAAGCGTCTGCCTTCGGCTCAGGTCATGATCCCAGGGTCCTGGGATTGAGTCCCACATCAGGTTCCCTGCTCAGCAGGAGACCTGCTTCTCCCTCTCCCACTACCCCTGCTTGTGTTCCTGCTCTCGCTGTGTCTCTCTCTGTCAAATAAATAAATAAAATCTTAAAAAAAAAAAAAGATTGACCTTGTCCTAGAAAGAGCAACCTTTACCTTGTCACTTAAAAAGAACAATTGTGTAAGACTGTTGCATCACAGACCTATACCTCTGAAACAAATAATACGTTATATGTTAAAAAAAAAAAAAAGAAGATAGTAGGAAGGGAAAATTGAAGAGGGGGAATCGGAGGGGGAGATGAACCATGAGAGACTATGGACTCTGAGAAACAAACTGAGGGTTCTAGAGGGGAGGGGGGTGGGGGGATGGGTTAGCCTGGTGATGGGTATTAAAGCGGGCATGTATTGGATGGAGCCCTGGGTGTTATACGCAAACAATGAATCATGAACACTACATCAAAAACTAATGATGTAACGTATGGTGATTAACATAACATACATACATACATACATACATACATACATACATAAATAAATAAATAAATAAATAAATAAATAAATAAAAAGAACAACCGCAAGCTTGATGGCAGATTGTCCTCAGCAAGGCCACACTTACAAAGCAAACAATCAGAGTCCCTCCAAAGGTCTTGTTCAGCTCACACTTAAGTCAAACTACTATAGTTAACTTTGTAGAGTACCTCAGGTGAATCATTTGGAAATAGGACTTTCATTCAGTCATTCAACTCATAACATTCTGGGTTCTGAGTACATGCCATTGAAACAAACAATGTGCCTCTCTTCAGAGACAGGGCAGAAGACAGACAATGAGCATATAAACAAATAAAGGTGATTACAGATACTAATAACTACTACCCAGAAAATAAATCTGCATGGAAGGCAGGAGAGTGGCTGGGAGGTGTGCTGCAGTCCTTGTTTAGGAAGACACACTCTGAAAGGTTTCTATGAGGAGACATTTGAGCTGAGACTGAAAAATGGGAACTGAGCAGCCACGTGAAGATCCTGGGAAGGCTGCTCCTTCCAGGAGAAAAGCATGTGCAGAAGCTTTGACGTAGTAATGAGCTTAGTATGTTCAAGGGACAGACAGAAGACACAATTCATGGAGCACAAGGGGGAGGGGATGAATTATGAGATGGGACAGGCAGACTGAGACCAGATCAGGGAAGATCCTTTAAGGAATTTTAATGTATGCTAATTGCAGTAGGAAGCCATAGAGGGTTTTAGTCTAGGCAGTAACATTATTTGAATCACGTATTTCAGAGTCCACAAGGCCGCCCCGACGGGTAAGAAGGGAAGCACGGGGCGGGGTGAGAAGTGGTTGCCGCAGTACCCACAAGGGCTCATTGGCTTTGAGCAGGGGCTGCAGGGAAGACGGGGGACACCAACGGTCTGTTATCACATGTATTTTGGTGGTGGCATCAACAGGACTGGCTAGTGGATGAGATATGGGGGGCATGACAGAAAAAGAAGAGTTGAGGATTTTTGGTCTCATCGGCTGGTTCAGAAAATCAGATATTTAAGTTTGCTATGTTAAGCTTGGTATGTCTAGTAGGCATTCATGTAGTGATAATTCTTATAGGTGTCTACAGTTCAGGAAAGAATCAGGGCTGGACATAAAAAATGGTGGGTTAGGGCGCCTGGGTGGCTCAGTTGGTTAAGCGACTGCCTTCGGCTCAGGTCATGACCCTGGAGTGCCGGGATCGAGTCCCGCATCGGGCTCCCTGCTCGGCGAGGAGCCTGCTTCTCCCTCTGACCCTCCCCCATCTCATGTACTCTCTCTCTCATTCTCGCTCTCTCAAATAAATAAAAAAAATCTTTAAAAAAAAATTGTGGGTTATCAGCAACTTCATCTTGTAGATTCCAAAGTCAAACTATACCAACCATAACATCTTTCTAGCCTTTTGACTACAGTTTATGGTTATCAAAGCATAATAAGATAATTGTTAGAGATGCCGTCTCATATCCCAAATGATGTCAATAATTGCTACTCTTTGGGTTTTCAACCAGATCATTCTTATCCTTCTGGATGACTGACAAACTGCAGCATATCTTACTTTCTAAGTCTCCTCATATTAGTTAATGCTTTTCTCCTGACTATTCATCTCCTCCTAAGACCCACCTCATGATTCACCTCCTTCAAGATGCCTTCTGAAACACAGTACCCTCCTGAGTGATAATTTCATTTTGTTTCTTTATCACACAGATGGGGATGCTCCAAAATGGGAATAATTTGGATTTTAAATGTGTCTTTGAATTTTTTGAGCATCAAATATAAGTTCTCACAGAAAAAAGATTATTAATTATAGCTCTTACTTGATAAGCCAACAACAGCCTATTCAATCGTTGGAAAGAACTCTATAGGATCCAGATTGGAAGCTCCAGGGGTAAGTCTGGAATCTTCTGCTGCAACAGGGAGTTAAGGTTCCAATGGTAGGACTCTTGTGACCAGTGAACATCAAGACTGGCAAGAGAGGAGCTACAGTTCTACCTAAAGACAACTTTCAGAATCATCTGAATTCCCCTGCATTGATTTTCAATATTTTTATGGGAAATTTAAGCCAGCAATGGGAGTATATAATTCCATATCCATGAAGGTAGTGTATATAAATGTAACCATGTTTTAAATGTAACCATTACACAGCATCAAAAAACTGGGGGCACTTTCATGCAGAAACAAATGATGCAGAGGCACTAGAGAAAGGCAACTTTATAAATTTTGCACAAAGGCTTGTGAGGGTCCTGTGCCACACAGAGGAGGAAAGGTTGACTTCGAATTAAGCCAGTAGATAAAGCCTTGCTGAAGGAAAAAATTTAGGGAAAAAATCTAGAAATCTAGAAATGGCCGAGAGGCAGCATCAGCTAGCTGACCATTTACAAAGCTCAATGGTGGATACCAGTTTACAGAATAAGAAATGAAGACAACTGTATCTATCTCTCTCTCTCTCTATCTACCTACCTATCTATCCATCCACCCAACTATCTATCCCTTTCTTCCTCCTTCCCTCCTTCCATCTGTTAATTAAATGGTCAAAACTGCTACTATGAATTTCCTATGGAATACTTAGGGAAAGTTTTCTATCTAGGTTTTTTTTTTTAAAGATTTTATTTATTTATTTGACAGAGAGAGAGAGAGATAGCAAGAGCAGGAACACAAGCAGGGGCAGTGGGAGCGGGAGAAGCAGACTCCCCGCGGAGCAGGGAGCCCGATGCGGGGCTCAAGCCCAGGACCCTGGGATCGTGACCTGAGCCCAAGGCAGATGCTTAATGACTGAGCCACCCAGGCGCCCCTCTATCTAGGTTTTTAAAAAGTACCATTACACCATCTCATTAATTATCAATCTGAAAGTTATCAACTGTCAAGGACAAATTCTTCATTTAAGGATATTTGAGGGCTATCTATTAATAATACATTCATGTACCAATTTGAACAAGCTATTAGAGTTAAATATTAAATTTATTTAGTATTTTTACTTAAATCATAAAAAGAATATTCTTACCAGTTGCCTTTTGGATTTATAAACTGCTGCACTGCATAGCCAAACTGTTCACTTGAAGGACCGGAAAATATCTTTGCTTCTAGGAGACCAACATTGTATGCCATACAACAATTTAAAATGCCTATTAAGAAAGATGAAAACACAGTCCATATTTACAATTTGTGAATATAAGTTTGTAATATAACTCTCAAAGGCCACTTAAAAAACTTGTTTTATATAATGATTATTCTTCTTATTAGTGTTTACCAAGAAATAATAGCTACTGCTTTTTAAGTACTTACTTGCGGCTCTGGTACCATGCTAAATACTTTACATGCATGATTCATTACCTCATTCATCCTCATAGCATTCCCAGGAGATGATTATTAATATTATATTTGTTTCGCAGAAATTTCTAAGGTTCCTGGAGATAAGTATGTCTCACAGGTGGAAAGGAATAAAGGTAAGGGCAGGATTTGAACACAGGGATGTCTGATTCCACTTGAATTCTAAAACCACATATTACCTCTAGAGACGCTTAGGTAACTTCAGTTCTGTTTGTCCTTCCTAACACAGTGAGTCTCCAATCTGCCCAAGGGCAGAAGCTGAAGGCTATTTACTTTTTCTCCTAAATTCCCCTGAAGATTTTGATATGGACTCTATATGAAGTATCTGTTGGAAATGCATGGCTTCTTCAAAGGAGGAAGAAAAATCACAGCTCCTTGAAAATTATATCATTTTCTTTCAGAAGAGATCATCTTTGACGATGAAAATGTAGGGGATGGAGTCCTATCACTTTTATTCCACTGAGAACTGTCAGAAACGGTTTTGGTTTTTGATGCTTCTTTCTCAGTGCTCGAGAAACGATAATCATTTTCAAAAACAACAAAGACTTTGATAGGATAAGGCCCTGATAGACTTTTTCGAAAAACCTTATTTGTGATGGAAAGGGAATAGGGGAACGAGTAAGGTTGATGGCTGTCAGTCCTTCATTCTGGAGAAAGCAAGCCGGGTGGATATAAATGCCGTCTGTGGCGACGGGGTACACTTCATCCTGTCTGCCATCAGTGTTTATTTTTGCAGACACTGAAGGCAGAAGTGGCTTCTTTGAAACTGACATCCAAGTTCTATTAATATGTGTTTCTGTGAGAGAATATCCCACTTTCTGGGCAGCAATGAAAGTACAGAGTATTTCATAAATCTATTGTTTCAGGCACGGAAAGGCTGGAGGAAGAGGGCCTGCTCCTCCATGGGGCCTGGGTACTTTTGGGAGCTGATTCTGTGCAGCGCACCAAAGGAATTATGAAGTCAGTGATAAAGCTTTGGGGACTTAAGGTAGTTAATGTGCTTCTCTATGTGCCAAAGTCATTCCACCACAGATTTCTTCATTCAAGAGAGCTCAGCTCATTATTTATTAGAAATGTGGTCACCCAGGAAGAGAAGGACAAACAGTAATTTTGAAATACTCTGTGACAAAATCTGCGTAGCTCTACATTTGCAAATTTTCTCCTTAACACCTATTTTTCACATGTACCATTCTTCCTTCTTATTTTTCAGGAAATAAAATGCAGAAGAAAATAACATAGCAAATTAATCATGGAACGAGAATTGACATTCAGAATACTGGTGTTTTCAAACAACAGTTTAACTTCACCCCATTGTGCAGAACTCAATAAATGCTATCTAATTATGTTACCAATTATCTAACATACTAGTAAAAGCTTGGGGAGATGATGTCAAATGCTCCTTCTTTTCTAATATGTAATGCTGGAAAGGCCATATATGATGCAATGGCATAATTTTAATTAATTAGAACCATTAATTAGACCTCAGCAGATCATGTAATGACGCAAAATCACGTTGAAATTCATTTTATCATCTAGCAGTTAAATTTCAATTTATATATGCTATATATATATACTTTATATATTATATACATATATACATATATGTATGTGTATATATACACATGTATGTATATACACACATATATAAAATATTATTCAAAAATATAAATCAGACCACTTCTTTTCTCTGCGAAAAATATCCCAGTATCTTTTATTATTTTTTTCTTAAGTATAATTAACATACAGTATTATAATAGTTTCAGGCATACAATATAATTCAACAGTTCTGTACATTATTCAGTGCTGATCTCCATAAGTGTGTTCTTAGTCGTTTGTATCTATTTCACCCATCCCCTAGTCCACTTTGCCTACCTCCCCTTTGGCAACTACCAGTTTGTTCTCTGTGTTTAAGAGTCTGCTTTTCTGTTTGTCTCTTTTTTTTCTTCGTTCATTTGTTTTGTTACTTAAATTCCACATATGAACAAAATCATACGATATTTGTCTTTCTTAGACTTATTTCACCTAGCATTATATCCTCTAGGTCCATCCATGTTGTTGCAAATGGCAAGATTTCATTCTTTTTTTATGTCAGTAATATTCCATAGTAGTATTTATATATATGTGTGTGTGTATAAAAATGTGTGTGTATGTATATGTACATGTATATATGTATATGTATATATAAATATACATACACACACACCACATCTTCTTTATCCATTCATCTATTGATGGACACTTGGGTTGCTTCCATATCTTGGCTATTGTAAATAATGTTGCAATAAACATTGGGATACAGGTATTTTTTCTAATTTGTGTTTTTGTATTCTTTGGGTAAATACCAGTAGTGGAATTACTGGATCAATGGTAACTCTATTTTTAATTTTTTGAGGAAGCTCCATACTGTTTCCCACAGTGGCTGCACAAAATTACACTCCCACAACAGTGCACGAGGGTTCCTTTCTCTCCACATCTTTGCCAACCCTTGTTGTTTCTTGTGTTTTTGATTTTAGCCATTCTGACAGGTGTGAGCTAGTATCTCATTGTAGTTTTGATTTGCATTTCCCTGATGATGAGTGATGTTGAGCATCTTTTCATGTGTTTGTTGGCCATCTGTATGTCATCTTTGGAGAAATGTCTGTTCATGTCTTCTGCCCATTTTTAATTGGATTTTTTTTTTTTGGTGTGGAGTTTTATAAGTTCTTTATACACACACACACACACACACACCCTGATTGGGTATATCACTTGCAAATATCTTCTATTCAGTGGGATGTCTTTTTGTTTTCTTGATGGTTTCTTTCACTGTGCAGAAGCATTTTATTTTGGTATAGTCCCAATAGTTTAATTTTGCTTTTATTTCCTTTCCCAGGGGAGACATATCTGGAAAAATATTTCTACAGTGATGACAAACAAATTACTGCCTATGTTTTCTTCTAGGAATTTTATTTTTTCAGGTCTCACATTTAGGTCTTTAATCCATTTTGAGTTTATTTTTGTGTATGGTGTAAGAAAATGGTCCAGTTTCCTTCTTGTGCAAGTAGCTGTTCAGTTTTTCCAACACTATTTTTGAAGAGACTGTCTTTTTCCTATTTTATGTTCTTGCCTCCTTTGTCATAGAAATATCCCAATGTCTTATCAGTACACTGAGAATAAAATCCAATTTTCTTACCATGGTTTCAAAGGTCATTCATAATGTGACCTTGTGTATCTGGTGACTTCACTTTCGCTACCCTCCTTCCTCACTATGTTCCAGCCACACTGGCTTTCCTTCTGTTCTTTGAGCACAAGCAGCTCATTCTGCTTATGGCCTTTGCAGCTGCCTGACCCACTGCCTACAACATTTTCTTCCCAGCTCAGCATCTATGTGTTGGCATCTATTCATTATTTAGGTCTCTGCTCTCCTCGTAGAGACTTCCCCTGACTCCTCTATCTAGCAGCAACATTCTACTCCATCAATATACCACTATCACAGCATCAATTACCTGAAATTATCTTATGTATCTGCATTATTTTGTGTCTGTCTCTGCCCAGTAAGACCTAAACTCCTTGTAAGCTCAGATTTTATTTCATTTATTCACTCTTATTTTCTCAACACCTAGTATAGTTCATTTGTTGAATGAAATGAATTTTTAATTAATATATGCTCTTCAATGATAATTTGGAATATAGAGAAATTTAGAGGAAGAAAGATCACTCATAGCCATATCATTTTAATGCAAGTGCAGTGAATTTGGATATATTTCCTTCCAACATTTTTTCCTCATTTAAACCATAAACTTGTATCATACTCTTTCTTAGTGCTTATGTCTGCATACCTATTCAGAATCACTTTGACTCATTTGATTCCCCCATGAAACCTTGTCAAGAAGCAAAATGTAGCTATTATTACCAACGTATAAATAAGGAGGTTAGATACCATTCTTGTTCAGTGTCACACATTTGGTGGCTGAACTCTGAGTCAGGGTCTGGCTCATTTTCTCAACCTTATTGTCCAGAACTTCCTTCATAAATGGTCTGCTCATTTCCTCACTAAATATGTCATTTTCCATTGCCATTCCTTATTCCATTGATCCTAAATCTCTTCTTTCCTGCTAATTCAATCTTCCCCTCAAGACCATGCCTCTTTTGATAAACCTGGACAATCTCAGTTCACTATACTTCTCTTCAGATATATATCGACAACTCACTATCTACGTCATCATTTCACACTTAGCCTGTGATAGCTAATTAGCTTATGTAAATTTATTTATTCATTTATTTAAAGATTTTATTTATTCATTTGAGAGGGAGAGAGACAGAGAGAGCACAAGCAGGGGGAGTGGGAGAGGGAGAAGCAGGCTTCCCACTGAGCAGGGAGCCTGATGTGGGACTCGATCCCAGGACCTGGAGATCATGACCTGAGCCAAAGGCAGATGCTTAACCATCTGAGCCACCCAGGCTCCCCTAGCTTATGTAAATTGAATGTATGTATTCTAATTCAATGTCTATTCCTTCTTTACAGTCCAATTGTATATAGAAATATGTTTCTATATCTGTTCTTATAACTTTACTGGATAATATGGAAAATAACAACCATATTTGGTTCATCGTGTTCCCTTCCCCCATAGCCATGCCCATATGTCTGAACCCACTAATAAATGGATCATTCAAAACATATTTATCTAGCTCCTTTGTGCCAGGCATTTTCTAGTCCCTGAGGATATAACAATGAACAAAACAGACAAGATCCCTGTTGTCTTTGAGTTTCCTTCTGGTAATTTGAGTAAAAAATAAATAATTACATCGTAATGGG